CCTGATGTGGAACTTTTACAAATATGGCACAAGCTGACAGGGCGATAGGGCATGGCAACAAGCGATCGGCACGTGAGAAACCCATTGAACGATCCCACTATCCAACCCAGCTGGTCCACCCGCACAAGTGTCAAAAGCATACTGTTGGGTAAAGGATTTGTAGCCACACGGGATGCCAAAGTTCCAAATTGGAAGCTACTAGTAACAAAGGGCATCGCTACTGGGAGCAAGGACGCTGTTAGTAGCTCCTGGCCCTACTACTAAGTACTAGGAGCAAGGATGCTCATTGTGATTTCAGAGTGCCAATGTGTTTTTCCGCAGCCTTTTTGCGAGGCAGAGCGGGTTGAAGCAAAGTCAGAGTGCAGCACTGTCCGCTCGCAAGTGGGTGGTGGAGCTTGAGCGGTTCAACATGTTTTCTATTAGGTTAGAAGCCATTGCTTCTAGGTTAGAAGTTCTAAGCTATGAGGTTGGAGGCCATCGCTCTTAAAAGTGTCTGAGGTGAAACGCGTTTGCAAAGGATTTTGTTCGATATAGTCTTGACCCTCAATTCATCCGTAACGCAGCTCAACGCAGGATGTTTTTACACAAACGGGATCGCTGAAACAGCTGTTCCCCCAAACCTCAGACATCTATCTCACTCAAGCTCGGAGAGTTTGAACATATATGTGCAGATCCCACCATTGTGGGTGAAACCCCAGCTTGAAAGAAAGAAAAGGTCTAAAGATAGATAGGAAAACTGATTGGCAAAAAGAAAGTAAGACCGTGTTCCTACGCACAGCTACCAGGAGCAAGAAGCTTCATGTGTCCAATTTACGCCCAGCCAGGTGGACACGGGACCCCGTGGTAGAGTCAATGTTGTCAGCTCAGAGAGACGATCGCCAAACCTGACCACCCACGAACGACGGCACGAGAGTGTCTTGCGATGCTGTGGGAACAAGCTCTTGATTGGCAAAAAGAACGATACAAAGAGAAGATGAAGCTACTAGGTGTCACTAGGCCATCACTAGTAGTCACCTCCTTAAATGTTAATTAAATGTGTATTCGTTTCTTTTTTGGACTTCGCGACACGCGACAAACAGGCCGAGTTGCCTGTGCTCCGACTTGAGACGGCCTTGTCTTCCGTCCCCTTGGAAGAGCGGGAGACCCGTGCGAGTTCGTTCGGCCGAAGGCGGACGGCGCGCTTTGGCTTCGATTCACGGTTGAAATCACGGCTTTTTCGCTCTGGCCTTCTTTTTTGGCATGTCATTGGTGATGTTGTCCCATTTTGTTGCACACTGCGGTGTTGGGAGCAACCCCAGTTTTAGGAGAACTACAGCATGGGAGCAGTAGGCCATGACCTTCGGCAGTTGGGGCGCCCGGTTGGGGTGGAAATGGAATATGTATCGAATCGAATCCACGTGAATCATTCATCAATTAAAAAAATAGTGATGTTTTTCGTATTTGGCGTGATTCTGTTGTCTTTTAGGGGGAATGTCTCCCAAGATTCTTCGCAAAACGAGGCGTCATGTGGCTTCCAAGGATGCTACCTTGAGTTTCATTTCAGCAAAGTTTGGCCTGGAGGAGTGGGATCACCACTCAATAAGAGCCCTCATTGTCAAAAGAGATAGTTATAAATATAGAAGATGTCGAAGATTGCTGTGGCTGTGGCAAGATCAGTCAGGTGTCAGTCTGGAGGCGCTAGCACGTCAATCGCATTTCTTGGCGCTTTTGGTAGAGAGCCCCGACATCTCGACGCCAAGCGAGAAGTCGACATCTCCTTCTCACCTCCTTAGGTCCTACGGTCCTGCGGTAGCTTCTTGTTACTACTAGTAAGGCACTTGTTACTAGAAGCGATGCACTTGTTCCTGATAGCTTCTTGCGATATGTATTATGTTCTTTTTCAGTTTTGGGGTTCACATCCTATGCAGCATTTAGTTGCGTGTGTCTGTGTGTGTGTGTTTTGTTTTTCTCTGTGTGTGCATTATGAGGCCTGTCATTTCTTTATGTTTCTCTTTAGACCTCTTTTAATTTTCTTTCCTTCCTTCTTTCTGTATGGTTTTGTGTGTAGTTCCTTCAGTAGGTTGTTTTGTTTTTTCTGTGTTGTTGTCCTTCTTTCTTGCATGTTGTTTTCTATTTTTCCTTTAGGCCGTTCCTTCTGTTTCTTTAGACCGTTCATTGCGTTTTGTCTTTTCTGTAGGCCTTTCTTTCTTGTGTTTTTTTCTTGAAACCTGTCTTTTGGGCCGTTCTTCCTTTCCGGTCCTTGCGAGAGAACCGTTCCTTTCCATCAACCGAGGTGCAAACCATGCGCCTTTTTCCACACCAAGGGCTGCTCCAGCGGAAGGGATTGTGAGCCAGGACCCCGAAGCTGGTCCTGTCGGACTTGTCGGCCCGTAAAGCTGGCTGTGTTGCGCGATGTGTTCTAAAAGATGCCCTGACCGCTCCGTTCGAGTCGCGATGCCAGGACGGGCCCCCTACCTCGTAGCGTTTGCTTGACTTCTTTTCATGTTTTCATGTGTTCTTTTTGCCCGATGAACTGGCCGAGGTTTTGCCACTTGTGCCCGAAGGGTGAGAAGCAGCGGCGCCAGAAGGACTGGCTTTGACCAGTGATACACCAGTAAGAAGGAACACCTAAAGCAAAGTAAACAATGAAGGATTTATAAGAAATGAGAAGCGTGTTCGTTCGTCTTTAGGCTGTTTGAGTTGGTGAGGCACCTACAAGCTCACACCCCTTCAGCGTGCGTTCTTTTTCCGTTTGGACTTTCTTTCGGAGAAGTCTCTCAGTCTGCCGGAAGACTCATCCAGGAGAAACGAGCTTTCTTCGGAGCGATGAGGTCCTTGCAAAAGATCGCGTCCGAGTGACTTGGCTCCCCAGTGACATTCAGATCCATTTGAGTTGGATCCAAGAAAAGAGAAAATATACGGCTTTAGAGGGAGCCCTTTTGAGACCCAAACTGGGGCAACGTAACAAGAAGCTATTAGGGGCTCCTGGCCGTACTACTACGAGCAAGGACGCTACTCATGAACTCGGTCCAGGTCCGATCACGGGACTCCAACCAGCTCAGGTCGTGGCCCTTCCGGAGCAGTGAGTGATCCACCCGCTCTGGATTGATAAACTGGTTTTGGATCGGATGGATGTGTCCTATTAGAAACAATAATTATAATTAAGTTTAAATTAATGGCTTCTTGTTACTACTAGTAAGGCACTTGTTACTTGAAGCGATGCACTTGTTCCTAGTAGCTTTTTGTTAGTTGTCCTAATAGCAATGGCCTCCAAGCTAAGAAGCGATGCCCTGACCGCAGTCGTCGGACTGAACATGATTTTGCGTTGAGCAAATGTGCCTGGATCTTTTGGGCAAGGAAAAGCCAAACGCGGCTACATAGTGGAGTTGTTACCAGTGCGTTTTCTGGCCTGCCATTTTTGCTTCTATGCCACTCACACATTGGTTTCTGGTACCTAGCTGTGAGCTCCAAATGGATTGTGTTTCAAGCCGGAAATGGAAAGGGTACAGGAAAGATAGAAGACGTTTCTTTCGTTCTCTCCGATTCTCTCCAAAAGCAAAACGAACGAAAACTTGTGTTGCTGAATCTTTTGACAAATCGACTTGAGACCGAGACAGATGCAACTGAGAGAGGAGGGCCCCACTCTTGATGAAATCCGACCGAAACCTCAACCAGCTTGGAGTCCCGCTTGTGTCGCCGCCGAGCTGTGAGCTGCGCGCAAGCATGCCGAACAGCTGCCGAATACGGTGACTTTTTGAAATGCATGGATCAATTGAATCAAATGGATGTATATACTTCGCACTTGTACTTCAGCTCGAGGATTGAGCTGCACAGAGGCGTTGAAGTGATTCAGTTCCGACTGTTGGGATTGGTCTAGCGCCGCATGGGCAAAGTCCAACCGAAGCTCAAAACCAATTGATGGTGAATGAGAATGAGGCCGCAAACTGGCAACATGTTTGCGAATGGGTTTCAGCTCGGTTCCTCGTTCACTCATACCAGCATTCAATGTGGTGATTGGTGATTGCCACATGCAATCACAAAAAAGAAACAAATTGCTTGCTGAAAATTGGTTGGTTTGGTGGTGACCTTTTCATGAAAGGCAGCTTCAGCTAACTGAGTTGCCCTTGCTTTAGCACAAAATGTATGCACGTTCTGCATCCACTCCCATGGGCGATGCCATCATAAGCCCACTCTTGCTTACCTGGTAGCTCCTTTCGTTCGCAGCCTCGGCAAAGTAGCTCCTCCACGAAACTGAGGTGTTCATGTTGATTCCGAGCTTTCAGGTGGTCTTGAGCTTCGAGGGCAAAACCTCTGAGCCTTGGAAATCAAATTGATCAGTCGTTTTTTTCAGCTTTATTTAAAACACTTTGCCGTTTTGCCGATGAACAAGAGGTTTGGGCCATGATGGCCATGGCGCCACGGCCATCCAGTTGTACAGAGCAGTTAGGTCCACTAAGAGGCCAATCCAAACTTGGTTCCTGCCGGAGGCTGAACTGCCATGGAAAGCAACAACCGGCGGAGCAATGCGATATGTGGACTTCTTGGGGGGAGCAAGGGAACAGCAAAACTCCTTTTCTCGGAGTCATGGAAGTAGGGTTCCGATTGGTGAAGCAGATTGTGCAAGGCTTTGGATGTTCTGGAGTCGGAGAGTTTGCTTGCTCCGCAGCTGCCCGTGCAGCTTCCGTTGAAAGGTCGAAGAAATTCAACTCGCGACACTCGTGAATGTCGAACGATGTTTTTGCACAAGCCACTGGGGCAAACGAGACCAGAGAACTGTGAAGGATAGAGCATTGATGTTTCCATACGACTGAGCCCCGTTTGCGGTTTGGGCGCAGACCCATCTCGGAAGATGCGGAAGGGCACCTCGGCCACCTCGGCTCGAGGGGCTGCGGGGCCAAAGGCGAGAACTTCACTGACAAGGCTCCACCGAAAAAGGTCGACCGCGGCCCTCGTGCGCAGTCTGTGCGGAACATATTTCCCCAGATAGCGAACCTATGGGGTTCTTACTTATGCCCCGGTCGCGGCCTTGCACTGACTGGCGCCTTCATTCACACCAGCTGTGAGCCTTTGTCAGGTCGAGCTGCTTTGGGTTGAAAGGGTTAGAAGCCGTTGGCTTCCTGAATGAGCGTAGTGCAGAAGCATGCAGAAGCCCAGGTGTATGTTTTTTGGTTTGTTTGCATTTTTTTTGCTCAAAGACTGAATGTCAGGAAGCACCAATTTGGTACCTTCATTTTTAATCTGAGCAGCGAGTCCATTGTGGGCAAAGCAAGGCCCACTGTCGCTGGCCTTGGATGAAACCATGCTCCTGGCTGTGCACTTGCCTTTGCCGTATAGCGGCTGGGAGAACCTGCAGGCTGGTCATTTGCACTTTGCCGAGCTTCGGGAAAGTAGGAGGCGACGAGGCAGGAGACTTTGAAAAAATAGTCTGAGCACATTTGCCCAATCAAAAGGGGAGCACTTCCAGAAACTCCTTGTGTTAGGGCCGGTCTAAACTCCTCCTGTGGAGTCAATGCATGGTGTTCGCCTGCCAGAGAGAATTGCTGCAGGGAATCGTCACCAGCAAGGACAATGCTGCTCAGAACTCTCCTAAAGCTGTTGCTTGGTGAGGTGCAATCTTCCAGGAAAACGCTGAGGGCTTTCGCGGTCCCTCCGCAAAAAAACTTGATCCCCACCAGTTGAGACTGATATGTTTTCAACTCACTCCCCCTCATGGTTTCGGGTGCTTTTGGTTTGCGCATGCTTTCTCTCCCGTAGGTGAACCACCCGAAGCTCCGCAGCGCCCGCGCCTTATCGAAGCAGTGTGGCTTGCCGAGTTGGCGCCTGGTCGCCAAGGCATCAAGGCGAGACACAGAGCGAGTGAAACCGGGCCCTTTCGAGCGGGGCTGTTGGTTTTTAGAGCCATTTCGAGTCGGACTTCAGAGGAAGAAGAAGTCACTATTCTTGGATTTCAAATCCAGTTTGAGATGCGGTCATGTAGACTTTTGAGTATATTCAACCCCCTACATGACGAGGTTGTACAATCCATGATTGGCGGGGTGTATTGATCCGCTGGTTGTCCTGTGTTCCCCGTCGCGGTGTGTTTGCGAAGAATGAAGTTGCGGATCAACAAGACTGGTTTCATCATGGTTCTACATGCTGACACAGGTGCTTTTCGGATTTAAAAAGACCTCAATCGCAATGGTGGCAACCGAAGTCCACAAAGCGTCCAAGCGAGTCCAAAAGCGCACCTTTATGGCTGCGAGTGTCGAGGTCGTAACACGGTTGGATCAAGGGCCCTTCGGAAAGAAAGATGCGACGGCAGTCGCTCACTGGAAAACATGACACCTCATGACAGGTGTACAGCAAAATGCATTCGCATGTTGACACAGGCCAAAAGTTTATTTTCATGGCCTTCGAAAAACATTCAAAAGTTGAGCCCTTCTCATGACCGCTTCAGGTCACTTCGAAACTCCCATGCTCCGCAGGCATGGTCAGGCAGGACGTTGGCTGTCCTTGTTGGCAGAGTGGTGTCCTGGTCAAAACTCAGCTTCGTTTGGACCATCTTGTCCTTGATCTCACCCTTCTCATTCAGGAACTGAAGGCGGTTGATCTGCTCGAGGGATTCTATGCGAGCCCTCTGCCTCACAATGTGCTGATTGCAATCAGCAAGGAAGCAGATGTTGTCATTCCACATCCGGTGCCATTGGCGCACCTGATCATCCGAGAAGCTCTGAGTTCGAGCTGTTTTCAAAAGCTCTCGGAATTTCCGCCAGCGCTGGGTCCGACCTCCCCTCTAAGTTGAGGGAAAAGATCATTCAGACAGTGAAGCACGGGAAGGACAACATCAAAAAAGCTGGAACCCTGTCTAACCAACGTGCAGCCGCTGCTACAGCGTGGGTCCTCCAGCACGAGAGGAGCCAATTCTCTGCAGCGACCATGTCATGGGCAGGCCACGGCACTGTCCAATCAAATTAGCACTGTGTCAGTCGGTCGAGTCGATTCGATCTGTCTATGTTACGATTTACTCTATTTACTTTACTTGAGAATAATCTATTATTGTGTATCGGCTGTTCTTGGCACGCTTCCGAAGCAGCTTTTGACTGAGACAGGAATCTTCCTGATGAAGCACCATGTATTTGTCAACACCGTGAATGACAACGTGCTGATATCTTTGGGTTTCAGAACCTGTGCTGCTCTTGGAATCAAGATGATGAGGCATGAATGCAACGGATCTGCGCCTTGGTTTGATCAAATGCTAAACACGCAGCGGCAATGCAGTGGTAACTCTTGTTCCCAAGTCGACATGGACAACTGATCAGCGTCGCAACAAATAAAACGGCCATGAAAGGCGGCAAGGTCAAGGCACGTTTGCAGTGCATCGGTCATCATCTGTCAGCGGTCGTGACGTAATTAGGTCAGTCACTAAGGGTCCCGTTTAAGAGATTATACACGACGCTGACTTAGACAGATTCTAGTTTATTTATTGTCACCCACTCAGCCTGAGTAAATAGTCACGACTTAGGCGGAAATAAAACACCTGCCAACGACTAAACCATAGGCTAATAGTTCTATAGGAAGAACCGACAGTTCAACACCCCAATCAAGATTCGAACTTTGAAGTCTGGCATGCGTGTTTGTTTGGTGTCAGCTCAAAATGAAGAAACCTGTGATTGAGGTCTTCCTCACTGTCGACAAACATCCACAATCAAACTATCCGAATTGGATGTTCAACCACGTGTTGCCTGCAATTGATGATGCCACGGAACGCGGATGGATGCATTTGCCTGTTGAGATCCTCCATCCATATGAAATCCCCAAGGTTTTGAGGCAAGACCATGGAGTGGTGCTGGCAGTGACTGGAGCGCCACAATCTTTGATTCCGGCCGCTGTGAAAGCTGGAATCTACTTGACTTTGGACCATTTGCGGAAGCTCCACGGGCGGTACAGATTTGAGTTGCCGAAGTCAGGTAGCGGCAAGCATGGAAGGCTCATCAAGAAGGACTGGGCCAATGCTTTTGTTGGGTTCCTTTTCCCAGATGCACCTGACTCAGAGAAAGCGGAGATGTCCCGGGCAATAGTTGGCCGTGATAGCAACCATCTTCAGAAGTCCAAGGTGTCAGCCCACTGCCGTGAAATCCTCCACGCTTTCAATGGGCTTGACAAAGAAGACCAACACATATTTTCAGATCTGGTCGCTGTTGCCAAAGATGAACAACTTTTGATAGATAGAAGGGAACAGAATGCGAGACAGCAGGACTCAAGAGGAGAGAAGCAACATGAGACACCAAAGTTGCTTCGAAATTTGATTCCTCCGACCCCAGCTTGCCGGATTTCACGGCATCCGCAATTGAAGCGATACCAATGCTTCTACACAGGAAAAGATTTGGAGACAGGTGACTCTGCTACTTTATGTTGAGATTGACATTGATTTGGTATTACCCTTTCCCTGGTCTCAGTGCGTTGGCCCCTGTGTGTTTAATCTGAAAATTCTTGGGTGATTGAACATCCACAACTTGCCCAGGGAGTCCCATAGGAGGGGAATACAGTTGGATTGAATTGATTTATCCGTTTTTGCTTAGGTGAGGCACGCACATGGTCACGCGCGAGCTATTGGCATGGCAAGAAGCAGGGGCTTACTGAGTATGCGGCCCTTCAGACAGTCATTGACTGGGGGCGGCGTGTGCATCGGAAAATGCAGCCGGATGAGACTGCAGCAGAGCCGCTCAGTGATATTATTCAAAAGACGTGTTTTCTTATGTTTAATTATCGATTTCGGATCGGAGTTTGTGGTTCTGAGTTGACAAGTTAGACTTGGCTAGACTATGCTAGACTTAATAGACTTAGTCAGGGTTGGTCGTACAGTTCTTTCGAATTCATTCAACATCGGAGGCCTAGTGAGTACGATGTGCGCTCAGTGGTGGAAAAATTTACAACGGAGACTGGCTTTGTGAAAAGCCAACCTGACATGACTCCAGCAAAGGAGGTCAAGGGCACATCTTCAAAGAAGAGTGAGGCGCCCATGGCCGCTGAAGAAGAATCACAGCCTTCAAAGAAGTTGAAAACTTCTAAGGAGCCTGCTGAGAAGGTGCCAAAGGCATCTGAAGACAGTGGGAAAAAACATAAAAAGAAAGAGGCAATGCCGAAGGCATCCAAATCGTCTGGCTCGAAAGTGGCCAAACCACACGTGAAGAAGTGATTTGCGTGCGTGTGTGAAAACAATGATGTCAGTTGAACGCAACGCAGCTGGCGCAGCTGGGGAAATTGAATGCAGCTGGGGAAATTGTGTTGGAAAAGACCACCTTCTTTTCATTAATCTTCTAATCTTGCTATTAAGACTCTTATTGTTGAGATGAAGGCGGTCCCATCCAACATGGTATCCCTGATTCTCTGTGATGATAGTACGGGCCACATCCTATGATATATCTTCAGTTATTCCCTGCTATAGTGAGTTATATCAGTACGTGGCTTGAGACAATACAATCACCCAGCACAGTTACTGGATGAAACATGTACTCTTAAAACGCACAGGTGTCAAACAACTCCGGGAAGCAAGGGACTGGACACAAACTTTGCCAATTTGTGTCAACAATAAAGAAGACAGAAGAGTCCTGAGTCTTCTCTTCCTCGACTTTGTGGTAGGAGAAGAGGCCAGCAGCTTGTGACGCAGCATGTGATGCAAACGCTTCTGCTGCGTGCGTCAACTTCGTGAAAGACCCAGCGTCACTTTCATCTGCAGCTGCTTTTGCAGGTGCGTCGGCAGCATCCTGACATTGTGACCGAACAAACGCTGTTCTGCACTCACCCAGTATAATACAATATATGATGGTTTTCTTTCGCATCCACTCAGCCATGATAGTCCGGTTCGTGGTCTGGTTTTCAGGGGTCAGAGTTCTCATGTTCAGGTAAAGGTAAACATTCACATGACCAACAAACGCATAGCATATATAATATCATTACAAATCTATCAACCCATGGGTTCATGGAGTGTGGCTAGCAGAAACACGCCGCTTCGCCCACCCCGCAAACATCCTCCGTTCACCACCCGTTCACCACCCGGCAACCTCTGCTCCGCTAGGCTGAGCAGACTTTGGCTCATGGGCGCAGCATGCACCGCGCTGCTCCTGGAGAGTGGTTTTAACAGTAGATGGCGTAATCCCCAGTGTCAGTGGTTTATATGGACATTCTTTGCCAACTTTCTTGATGAGGTTACGACTCTCCATGTCTTCAGATGTGGCTCTCCTTTACTGTCTTTCAAACCAAAGGCACAGCCATCACAGCATGTCTCATACAAATCATGTTTCTTGACAAACTGCAAAAGCTCGGTCAACATCCAACCTTCGCAATGTTTGGGCCATTCGAAAGCAACATGTCCTCCGTTCTGGAGAATTCTCTCGGCAACCTTTATGTAGTTAGCTAAGAGTTTCTTGCTTGTCTTTCTCTTGGCTTTCAATTTCTTTGCGTAGGATGAACCATATCGATGCAGACACATTTTCTGCCAAGGACTCCACGAACTACATGGAATGCTTCCCCAAAGGTCAGCCCCCTTGAACACGTCTACCAACGACAAAAGGCTCTTGATGTCTTCTTCATTTTCCAAGTTGGTTTGTTCCCGATGCAACCTAAAATGTGGGACCCCCCTTGATTCATTAATATCTCCTAGTTTCGAGTCTTTGCTGCAGCAGAATTCAAACATTGCATGGCTTTTGCCGGACCTAATCCTCCTTTCACGGGGTGGCTTCAATGTCTGAACGTTTTTGACTTCTGCAGGGACCGGAGTTAAACCAAGGATCGACGTGACAGCATCAAGTCCTCGAAGAGGTTCTTTCTCAACACTGCTAGTCATGGTCATGATTCTTGCTTTCACATTTCCAGGTTTCTCCTTTGGGAAGAAGTATGTGCATCCTACCCAACTTCTTGAACAAATGCGCCTATTCGGTGACATGGATTGCCAATCATCTGCAAACAGTGAAGTCTTGTTTCTACAAGTCCAAACAGTTTGACGTTCTGTTGTCACTTCGAACGAATCAAAAGGACAGTCATTTCCAAGCGGTGTGAACAAACGCTTCCTCGGACGGACATGGATTCTCTTCCATGCAGCTTTGGCCTCATCAAAGTCCCAATAGTCATTCAGTGCCTCAGCATTACAGCAATCCACGAGAGAAGCCTGCAGCTTGCTCTCCTGGCCTTCAGGCAGGACAATGGGATTTTCTCTGAATTTTTGGCGGCTACACTTGTCCTTCAAGGTGTGCATCGAAATGTCCACAGCTTCTTCTGATTTCTCTTTGTCTTTCTTCGAATCTGACTCTTTGGCTAGTCTCTCGTCTTCCAAGAGTTTGCCAATCCTTGCGTGGCATTCATCGCTGTGCCTCACGCCTTCTGCGATTCTGTCGCAACCTTTGCAACCTACTGTCTTCCCGAACCTAATGCATCTCTCCAATGTTACATAAGGTCTGCGTTTACGTTTGGCTGGCTCAGGAGGATCCTCTCCAAAGGGCAACGACTCTCTGGGATCAATGCTCAGCAACTCCCGATCTGCTTTAAACAATGCCAGCTGTGAATTTGCAGCCTCTTCCAAAGGAAAGATGAACACTTCTGGTTTCACAAGCTCACTAGTATACACTTGGATTGGTTTCTCACAACCTTTCTTGTTGGTGCGAACAGCTTCATAATCCAAAACCAAATGCACACCTCTGAACTTATACCCGTTGTCGATTCGCCATCCACAAAAGATGCCAGGAAAAGTCCTTGGGTCAAAGGCAGGAAGTTCTCTATGCTTGGGTGGTTTGTACCAAACTAATGCACCAAAAGGAATCCGGTACCCATCAAAAACATTACCTGAAGCAACTTCATAACAGGTCTTCCCTTCCTTCAACGCTTTGGACTCAGGAGTCTCATTCGGATGCACAGGACATGGATGTGTGATTGCATGCGCTACAACAAAATACTCGATGCTCCTCGGCCAAAAGGCGTGCGGCAAACCTGACTTGAGATGGATCGCGCGTGTGCCTTCTTTGATCCTTCGGATCAAGCTTTCCAACTTTGCATTGTGATACGGGTCATTCTCAATCCCTGGTTCACTCAACCAGCCCAAATGTTCAACAGCTTTGGTCAATTCTTGAGCACAGTCAGTTTTCACAAGGCAAGAAGACCTAGGGGAAGCTCTGGTTCCAGCAAACTTCTGAAGGCACAGGATGTTCGAGTCAGTGTCTCTTGAGGTCATGGAGTAAGCTCCAATGCAACCTGAGAATTCATCGAAACAAACAAGGCATGCTTGCTCACCACCAGCACCTTTGGTTAAATCTGCCCCCAAAATAATGTGGTCTGCTCTCATCATGTGGCCATAGTGGAGCGGAGGAATTTCATCCTCGCCCGGTGCCCCCCTTGACCGATGAACCCGACCTGTCATCTTTGCTCTCTGACAAATCGAACAGTAGCGGTTTTTGGGGAAGTGACAAAGTTGATGAGTTTCACTTTTGGCTTCCTCTTCAAGGCGTTCACGGAGTGATGGGGTCCAAGGGTTGGCCTCTTCATCTTCTTCATCTAAAGGGGCATCCAAGGGTTCCGCTTTTGGTTCATCACACAGCATGAGTTCATCACCAAAATGAGGAAGAGTTTCTGGTTTCTCTTTCAACACTTTATCACTAACTTTGGGCAAATCTACTGGTGCTTCAACACGAGGTTCTGGCTCCGGAATAGGAGCTCTTGCCGGTCGATCTCTCGATCCTGAACTCGGACCTCCAATTGGTTCCGTGTCTGAATCAAAGGCGACAGGACCTGGACTGGCTTCCAAATCTGCTGGCGCTGCACCTACCCATTCATGAATGATCGGAACATTCTCACGAACTTCCATGTGAATCTTTGCCGACTCAGGGCAAAAGTGCTTGAGATCACCAAGACGATCCGCCTTGATCATGTAGGGCAATTCGTCTGGCAGCCAAACAAACCCTCGTTTGTGGTGGTTTACTTGAATTCCCAAAGACAATGCATGGGGACATGAATCCAAAGTGTAGAAAGTGTTGAGACCGCTCACTTGCCCTTGGAGTTCTATGTCTTTTGTGGTTTTCCTCTCCCCACCTCCCGTTCTAAAGATCAGGTTTTCCGGCGGGTCGATGATGAAGCCTCTCCAATCATCGGGCATCGAGTCTTTCGACAACAAATTCCTTCCTGCACCTGAATCCATGAGGAATTCCATTTGACATGGATGTGACGCCAATGCAGGGACACTTGAGTGATCAATCTGGGACATCGGATTGCAGCATGTGATGGCGGTCATGATCGTAGTCACGGCTTTGGCCAACAACTGGACACAAGGGACTCTCAAGGAACTCCGAGTGACCTTTCTGCAAACCTTCTTTGCTTCTTTCAAAGCGGCTTCGGCTGACGGGATCGACGCGAATGCAGTTGCAGCAGCTACGGAAGCGGCTCCGGCATGACTTGAAGAACTAGCACCAGTACCAGACTTCAAACGAGGTTTCGGGCCTTTGTACAAGTTCCCTTTGTCATGGAGGAATTCACAATCCTTCCCGCGAGTGCATGAATCGTATGCGAAGTACATGCATGGCAGTTTTGCTTTCTGCTCCTTGGTCAGCGGTGGCTTGTCCTCCTTGTTCTTGCCTTTGCCATCTTTCGCTTTCCCTTTTCCTTTCTGGGCAAATGCTGCATCAACATTCTTGTCTTCATCAACCTTCTTTGATGCCTTGGGCTTGTCCTCTTTCTTGACCTTTGTGTCTTGCTCTGGCTTCTTTTCTTTCTCTTTCTTTGTCTTTTCATCTTTCTTCTTCTTGTCTTTTGCTTCTGCTTGTGCCCCTCCAACCTTTGGATCTAAACCTGCTGAGGTGAGAGCTTTGTCCATTGATGTTGTGTTCAAATCCATTTGGGATATATCAATGGCTTCACACATCTTGCTGTACAACCAACGGCTGGTTCGCTTGTAGCTACCAGTGTTTGCTTCCCGAAACTTGTCAATTGCAAGTGCCATTTTGGGGTGATTCTTGAGGCTTTCAAACAACAACGACCTCAGCGACGTTTCAGCTGGCATCTCACTAGGTTCAAGAGCGCCTACGCAAAAGTCATATCGCTGTCGAAAGTCTTCAAGTGCCTTGATATCACTACCGTTCATCTTCAAGGACACAAGGTGGTGCTGACTAAGTGCCGTTCCGCGGTCGCGATCGAGTCGAAACTTTTGGA